GTGTATAAGTTTTATAACATTTGGTTGAGGCTAACTAAAGTTAGAGAACGGAAACCAAATTTGGGACGTACGGACGGACGTACGGACGTACGTATGTACAGACGGACAAGGGTAAAACTTAATGCCCCCTCCGCTACGGCGGGGGCATAAAAATGATATAATTATCGGAAATAATTTTTTCTTGGCATGACGATATAGAATGGAAATGGAATGGAATATATAATTTAAAAGTTTAAAGACGTTTTTTATATAACTCATTCATTTTCGAAATACTAATGATTTTCTAACGTAGGAAAAGATAACCTTCGCTGTATTTGGTAAAACCTTTCTATAGCTTATTCACAGTGTACTACAGATAAAATTAAATTTTACTTTATTATTTTAAAAATACCTAATTGCTTACCTTTTGATAGTTTAGTTGTGACGTATTCGTGTAGATAGTCATCTTTTGTTGTTTTTTGGATGGTGGGTTAATGTGCAATGCATAATTATCTTCAAATAATTTATATACTACTGAATCATGTCATTCTTTAAAAAACTTTACCATGTTCTAAAGTTAATCATATTCATATTAATAATTTACTGCAGTGCTGGTGTGTAGCAGTTGAGTTTGTGTGTATACTTTTAAATCATGAGTCGAAAATAAACGGACAACGCCATGGCAAAAACGAAAAACGACCAAAAGACAAAAAACAGTATACAAAACACAACACGGAGAACTAAAAACCTAGAAAACACGAACCACACCAAAAACCGGGGGTGATCTTGTGATTCTGTTCCACACTTGACAGCCATCGTGTTGCTCATGTAAGTACAAACCTGGTGACGAGTCTAATTCGGTATGTCACATTCGCGGAAAAGAGGACGAAATTGTGGTTACGACAATTGGAACACATCCATCGTCATCTGTGAAACATATATTTCATAACAATCAACGAACTTGTAATGGCTTCCGTAAAAGTTTCAAAGGCATGATTTCAACTTAATCACATTGAACTCTTTGTTGAATAGCTTCCTTGTGATCAGCAACCCTTTATCAAGGAAATCATTATAGGAAATGCAAGCTTTGGAATATCGTATCATCTGGTAGAGATATACTCCATATGCAGCCGCTGCTAGAATGTTGCTGCATAGAAACGGAAAGTTCACAATTGGGAAGTTGACATCATTTCTTTTGTCGTACAGTTTTGTTCTCAACAGAGCATTATTGTCAATTTATATAGGTAATTCAAGATATGAGAATGACTTTACTGTATCTGTTGTATCCAAGTTCGATGGGATAGATGCGTTCAACATAGTCACTAAACTATGAATTATTTAGTGAAAGGATATCATCTATATAGCGGATACTGAAGTTGCTATATAATGCTCGCTTCTTTTTTTATTTTTCTAAGAAGCTCCTGTATGACGTCAGCCTCATATAAATAAAGGAAGAAGTCGGCAAGAAGAGACGAACAGTTGGTTACCATATGACTGAAACTAAATTTTGAAGTTAATTCTTTTATTGCGCATATTTATTTTATAAAAATATAATATTTTATAAAAATATAAGTATAAGTATAACATTAAAAAAAATATATAGAAAAAATATAAAAAAATTTAAAAAACAATAAAACAATTATGTATATATATAAAATAAATAAAAATTATATATATTAGAATATCTATTACATTTTTAACACAATTGACAGTTTATGCACATGTGTACACAAATGTTTTATAGATAATAAACAGGGTTGAAAATGTTTTTCATTAAATTTTTTGTCTATGATTGAATCTTATGCGCATATTCTTTCTTTTACGAAACTTTTCTTTTGATTAACCCTTTTGAAACAACAATTACCCGGCAAATATATGAACAGTTATGAGTTAGTTATCGACCTTATACAATGAGGCAAACCCATACAGTTTTGTAAGCTGTAAAATGCACCGAGATGACAATTGTGGTCTTACAATTCAAAAGAGAAAATTAACACTTAATGAAAAACAATTATGGTAGAAAACGAGAAATTTTAGATTATAAAAATCCCGTAAAAGTAAAGTGGTTTTCATGTTTTAACTTCCATGAATAGCTCGGAATTTCATTATACGTTGGTGTAAAAAGGTTTTATTTCATCTGAATTTTTAAATACATTAATAAAAACATGTCTTCTATATAACTTATTCCTCAAAGTTTGTACTGTTCTGTTCAACATTTACTGATATAGGCAAGATTTAATAAATATAACATATAGCTAATTCCTAAATATTTATACTGTTCTGTTCAACAATACTGATAAAGGCAAGATTTACTTATATAAAATATAACTAACTGCTTGAAGTTTGTACTGTTCTGTTCAGCATGCTAATTTTTTGATAATAAAGTAAGATATATGATAAAAGACCAATGCAAGAGATTAGCATAAAGTTCAAAATAAGATTTTCTTATCGTATCTTCTCTTCCTTTTTATATAAAAATTAATATGTAATCGAATACCACCTGTACATAAATATATATGTATATCTTAAAAGATATAATTCATTTTGTATATTTTTTAGTAACAGCAGTCTGATGTTATTTCCCTTGTTAGTTAATATAAAGATGAAAGTCAATGGCTATACAGTGCAGTAATAAATACAGAATTTTGTAATAAGTTATGCAAATCATGCTTAATATACATGTTGGATACCATAGTGTGGAAAAAACATGAAAAGATATTTTCATTTTCTTACAATATTCAGAATAATCTTAAATCTAAGTTTTCGTTTTAATGACTACTAGAATCATTTATTTTATAACTCATTCTACAATGTATCATTTCTGTTGTTGCATTTTTTATATATGAAAAGCACGAAAAACGTCATCCTGCACATCCTTTATTACAGAACTAATTTCCCTTCTTTCATGTACCATAGAATATCCAACGAGGAAGCAAAGGTAAATACCAATGCGAAAAAATTGCATTTAGAACCAATGAGACAACTCTCCACCAGAGATCAAATAACGTCAAAGTCAGCATCTCTATTCTTATAACATGTTTGTGTTACATAGCATATAAATATGTATGCGTTTCATTGTTGGCAATGTACGAAAAATATGTTTACAGTCGTAAATGTATTTCCACCAATATCGATAATAATACTCAAATGTATAGCTAACAAAGCACTTGAGATATTCAAAATCTCTGCTTAAAATATTAGCAACTGATTTTCGCAATTTTGCTTTCTTTTTTGTGGAAGACGTCATTCAAATTCCCTACCCCCCAAAAAAAACGATAAGAATATATATTGTGAACAAATTGTTATGACGGTGACAATTAATCTAACATGCAATTTCGGAAGTTTTGATGCTGACGGATAAGTAGTACAACCAAATCTTCTTAGAAAATATGCACAAGCTGTCCAATCATTTGGTTGCAATCTACATTTCAAAATATTCTATGTAATAAATGATAACATATCTCCTTAATAAGTTTATGTTTCAATTGTAACCGAACCCTGGACTTTTTCATAAAAAAAAATCAAGACCGATTTAAGCCTGAGTGAGTTACTTAATGCAAACTCACTTACAAAGTGTAATGAAATGAAAATTTAGACAAAGTAGAACAATTATCATGCCAATAGAGAAGCACTCACAACAGTGTGGAATACTTAAAGATTGGTGCCTCTATATACCGTATGTCGGATATATATTATGATTTTTATCAATTAGAACAATTAGAAAACAATGCATTCCTAAGTTTATGGGACTTCTCCAGCAATGGTACCGACCCAATGATAATAAGGAATGAAAACATGTGATTTCCGTGCATACAAAATGTGTTTTTGGAATACACATGTTTGACTAAAAGGTTGTAGAATCGGCTTTCATACGTTTGAGAGCACAGCAACCAAAAGGACATAAACAAAACAGTCAAGCCAGTTTAAGATAAACTTTCAGATAATAAGTTATAGCATTGCAATAAACTACGTTTGAAAAACTTGACATTAAATCTTTGTTGTTACTTTGCTTGATTCTATCCAGTTATTGTCAATTATGTGTGTGTTGATTTATTTACACAATTATCATATTTATCATTATTCCTTTGGTGATAGTGTTCATACATCCCTATTTAAATACTTAAACATTGGTGCTTCTAATTACTGTGTGCCCGATGTATGTGTGCATTTTTTATCAATTAGAACAATGCGACAGACAAAATCTGAAAATACATGTAGGTGATGGACACAAACTCCTAAAGGCGAAAACGTTATAACATACAGACCTGTGTCTGGACAGGTGTGGAATTTTTGTCTCCCAACCTCTATACGCTTAGTACCAATCTGGCATGAAATCAACATTTCACCACTACACACATCACTTTTGAAGACCTGCTTTAGACTCATATTGACAGAAAATAGTTTTCCATTTTTCGTCTTTGACACTCTAATACGTTTCACAAAGTTTAATCTCTAACAAATTAAATGAAATTTATTAGAATCCTTGAACTACCATTGATTGATATAGTATAGAAATTATTATAACAAGCATTACATCATCGACTATTACATGAAAAAGTAGAAGCAAATGCTCATATTTATAGTTACAATTGGTTATCAAAGGGCATTAATGTGCTATTTCACAAATTTTTGAAATTATGGTTCGAAATCTCAACGACTAGTTATAATAAAAACTATACACATGCGTTGTTCTTAATATAAGCACATCAGCAAATATTTCTAGAGTACAGTATAAAACTTGTTTTATTTCCTATTTGTTCTCCTCTCCGTTTTGTTGGTAGCACTAACGTAAATCAATCACTCTCATTTATTCATTATCATGTGTTTGTTTACCTTCTCGTAAAGAATACAATATTGCCGGTAAATGTACGACGTACTCTGTACTTTAATCTTACTTTCAGCGGGTTTTTAAGGAAATTTTTAAAATGTTAACTATCAATTTGTGTACATGACTTTAAAGCTACCTCAAATATGATTTCACAAACCGGTATTGGCCATATTTTCACAAAATGGATAGTAACTGATATCACAGTAGTGGTTTCCCTTGAAGGTACATCTACAACATGTATTAAAACAATCATACACTCAATCAATAAAGACTTCATCTAAAGAGGCTGATAAGGACAATGTCTTTTTTCATGAAATAATTTCAAAAATAATTTGTTTCACTGAGTGAACCTGTTGAGTGGTGAAGTTTTTGAGACCGAGGAATATTTCTCGTACATGCATGTCGTCCTTGCTAAAATTTCTACTGATTTATACAAATACTACAAAAACGAGACGTTTACATGGATATGTGTTAACCCCATCTAAATCTTTATTTAACCATATATATATTTGTTTATGAAGATAAATTTTTTCTCAATTGTACAAATGACTTTTGCAAATGATTTAAGAAATAGCAATAAAATAGAACGAACATTCTATAAAAACAATATTTACATTCATAGTCTCTCTCGTTGAGATGAAGTGTTGTTCGTGTGATATCCACACCAAACACACATTTATATTCACAATCTACGTCCGACTCAGAAAAGTTACTAATTCGTAAGATGTACTGAGATTTATCTTTTCCTTTTACTTCATTATACTTTGACCTATCTGCAGAAACACCATTCATACACAATAATGCATCATAGGGTCCACCTGACCAGCTTCTGCTGTGTGGTTTATCAAGAGGAATTTCAGTTTCGTTAGCCATGCATGCAAGTTGTACACTTTCTCCAAATACCACCGGTTTTGTTAACATTACTAAGTTAGCTGTAATAATTTAAATATAATATGAACGGAATGAACACACATCATACAATCATACACAAACACAGACATACATGCTTATTCATATTAAAATATTTTTAAAAGGCAAGAAAAATTGGCTAAAATGTCAACTTTTTCTAAGACTATGACGTTTTTTAGGAACGTCATTATAGTGGTTTGTTGTATAAACCTCATTAAGTTCTTTGAAACAACCCAAACACATCAAACGAATGGAAAACAACTGTCATATTTCTGACTTGGTCCAGGCATTTCCTTATGTAGAAAATGGTTGAGTTAAACTGGTTTTATAGCTAGCTAAACCTATTACTTATATGAATAAAGGCAATAGTAGTATACCGCTGTTCAATAGTCATAACTCGATTTCACTGAAACCATCCTGGGTCACAAACCAAAACTGAGGGAAACACTCCAACTATAAGAGGAAACAAAACGGAACAACAGATATACTGAACTGCTACAAAAACAAACATAGAAACGGACTATGTGATAACAACTGCCATATTCCTGACTTGGCACAGGACATTTTAAGAAAAAATGGTGGGTGGAACCTTGTTTTATGGCTAGCCAAACCTCCCGCTTAAATGGCAATGTTTAACATATCGCTAAAATTACAACATTACGTGGCAGGAATACAGTACAAATAAATGCAAGAACATGCAGGACAGAGAAATACATAAATGAATAATATAATAGTACATTTCAACATGTAAACCACAGAATAACAAGGAACACCTAAAATTAATTTACGACAGAACACACATACAGCACAACAGAATAATGAAGTGTGCGTCACACGAATGTATCAACGCCAAAAAAAGTGAAGTCACAGGTAAATTTCTAAAAATACAATACAAAATTGGGATTAAGTTTGTAATGGTGTTATTTAATGTATTTTCTAACCATTGCAAGAATATTAATATAGAATTGTGTTAGTAATGGTGTAATTATTTGAAGTGTATACCCGTGTCGGGTTTTCTTCTAAATCAAACTGTGTAAAACCAAATAAATCCTGTGCATATAGTTGCTTTAAACTAAAAATCATAAAAATGAACTAGGAGATTAATATCTTTACTTTTACATACGTATAGAAAATAAAAATAGAATTAAAACCACAAACGATAAGACATAAAACAACATCCAACCAGAATTACAGATGAAACATCATAACTAAATGTTGGATGTACAAATACCGATACACGTCTAATAGCAATGCGAATTTACACTCAGCAAAACAGTCATATTCGGGAATAGGTCACGTTCGGTACTTAGAAGACCAGACGATGTAGATGTTAAACCACAATCTAAGACGTGGTAAAAATGTCGCTAGTTAGTTTAGACACAGACACATCGTATATATCAACCAATTCGTGATGGTGTCCATAAAATTTACGAAGTGTCATTTTTAATCTTTCCTCCTCATAACTCTGTTGGAGCAGTTTCTGCGTAAGGAGCACACTCCTGTATATGAAGTCCATATAGAGCGAACATGCACGAGCATAACGTATCAACTGAGATATGGAAACACCATACAATGGGACAGAGGGTATGTTACTGCTGAGAAATGGGAAATTGATAATTGGGAAGTTGAAATCGTCCCGTTTGTCATAGATTTTTATGTGAAGTCGTCCATCTGTGTCAATATTGAGGAAAAGATCAACATATGAAGCAGTCCTTCTAGTATCAGTAGTACCCTTAATTTCAATTTCACTGGGATTTATGAGATGTAAGTACTGGCTGAGGTATGGGTTATTTAATGATAGGACATAATAGATATGTCTGAAAGTAAAATTAAAGAATTTCGCAAGGTGCTTTTTCTTTTTGTCTTTTAGAAGGTCTTGAATGAATTCTGCTTCATACGAATACAAAAACAATTCGGCCAGTAGAGGTGCACAATTAGTACCCATTGGAATACCGACTGTCTGTTGAAATATCAATCCTCCAAACTCAACAAATATTTTGATGTCATCTTCAGTATATTTTCAGGTAGAATCAGTGTGGTTCTTCACAAAATAAGAATTATTACATGTATAACCCAAAACAAGAAATTTATATCTACGATTCCCATTTTTATAGAAAAGCTCTGTTTAATGAGATGGTGAAGTCGATCTTTTAATTGCGCATGGGGAATAGTAGTGTAAAGCGTAGAAAAATCAAAAGTTTTAATGTTGCTGCAAAATTGCAGAGATTGTGATCTAAGATTTAGCAGTAGATCTTTATAATTTTTAAGAATCCACATCTGATTGACATCACTGGTGGAATATATGTCATCACAATATATGATAGTCGCATAAAATTGAAAACCATGTGTGAACAAAACAGACAAAATAGGTAAAAATGTCAAAAATAGGGGTACAACAGTCAACATTGTGATATACAGTTGGGTGCAGACCAAGCATTACATAAAGTAAACGCAAGTTAACGCCGCGTGCACATATTTCGTTAGTTAACTTCAATTTTCGCGTTTACTAGTAAACGCGGGTTTACTATAATTACGTTAACGCGGTCAAAATGGAAATTTCTAATGTCTACCCGAGTAAACGGGCGTTTACTATGTGTCCGTTTAGTCAGTAGTAAACGGGCGTTTACTTCAGATTTCACAAGTTTATTTTTACGTGCACTTAAAAGTAAACGGGCGTTTACTACAGATTTCACAAGTGTATTTCTACGTGCACTTGAAAGTAAACGCGCGTTTACTTTTCGCGTTAACTGATAGTGTAAATTAAGAAATAAACTTCGTGTTCATTTGTACATTTATTTTTAATTAAAACGACTTGTATCTTAATATTTTATGTACAAGTGTTTCAAACCAGAACAATTCAAAAACACTTTTAATTCGCAATATTAACTTTTATTAACTACAAAAAATCAGTTCCAATAATTTTCCCGAGTAGCAGATTTTCTATATTTTCTTTTCAAAAGTTACATGTACAAGTATCGAGGCAAATAGAAAGGTTATCCAACACATCGGAAAAATATTTGTATATGATGGGATATAAACATCATGGTTTACGTTGCTTCGTTCCCCATTGTTAACAGTCTCTTCCTAAATATAACTCTATGCATTTAATACATGGATTTTTAATCGTAATTCACCTTGTTTTCCTTGGATTTACATGATTTAAGATTCTGTTTTGCCAAATGTTCGATCGAAAATTGTACAGTGTATATAAAGGGATATTGATCTGGTGTTGTATAAGTATGTACATTTGTACCATCTCGTCAATTTAGACAGACTTATCCATAACGATTATAAATGATATCTAGGACGTCCGAAAAATATACTCGTTCTGAACATGAAAAAAAATATTTGCCCCTAGACGTTAAGCTACAAACGAAATCAATCAACCGCCATAATATATTAACAGTACACTTTTCCAAGAAGAGAACTTCTCATACTTTGGATACATGTCAACTCGTACTTTTCATTATAAATTACTTTAATCAGTCATGTCAGTGTTGGATGATGCCGTTAAATATTATAGTTTTGTTTTAAATACAAACCATCCCGAACTACTGACTTTAGTGTCAGTTCATTATGCAACTATAAAGATTTCCATAAAGTTCAAATATGGTCAGTTTTGGTTGATGCGGACAAATAATTTTGTTATATGAGTCAGTCTAAGGTATGAAAACACTAAAATTTGTTTACCATTCAATATTTTGAATAAAAAGAGCACATGCTGGCAATATAACTTGATGCGAACAAAATCGTGTAGTCATTGTTTTCTAATATTACTGTCTTGTTTTATACAGTTCCTCCTGACCTAAAAATATAACTAGTTTACTATGCAGCTATATAGATTAGCATGATATAGTGCAAATATAGTCAGTTTTGGTTGATGCGGACCAATTATTCTCTTATACGAGTCAGTCTGATGTATGAAAACTACTGATATTTCCTTACGATTCAATATTTTGAATAAAAACAGGACATGCTGGCACTATAAATTGATGCGAACCAAATTTTTTAGTCATTGTTTTCCAATATCACTGTTATTTGTATCATACAATCCATCCTGATATAAAAATATTACTCATTTAGTATGCGACTATAAGATTTACATAATAAGGTGCAAATATGGTCAGTTTTGGTTGATGCGGACAAATAAGTTTGTTATACGAGTCAGTCTGAGGTATGAAAACTACTGATATTTGTTTACAATTCAATATTTTGAATAAAAATAGGACATGCTGGCACTATAAATTGATGCGAACCAAATTTTTTAGTCATTGCTTTCCAATATTGCTGTCATTTGTATTATACAGTCCCTCTTTAAAAAACTTTGTTATACGAGTCAGTCTGAGGTATGAAAACTACTGATAATTGTTTACGATTCAATATTTTGAATAAAAACAGGTCATTTTAGCACTCTCAATTGATGCGAACAAAATATTGTAGTCATTGTGGTCCAATATTGCTATTATTTGTTTTATACAATCCATCCTTACATAAAAATATAACTGATTTACTATGCAACTATAAGATTTACATAAAAAAGAGCAAATTAGGTCAGTTTTGGTTGATGCGGACAAGTAATTTTGTTATACAAGTCAGTATGAAAACTACTGATATTTGTTTACGATTCAATATATTGAATAAAAACAGGACATTAAGGCACTCTCAATTGATGCGAACAAAATTTTGTAGTCATTGTTTTCCAATATTGCTATCATTTGTTTTATACAATCCATCCTTACATACAAATATATCTGATTTACTATGCAACTATAAGATTTACATAATAAGGTGCAAATATGGTCAGTTTTGGTTGATGCGGACAAATAAGTTTGTTATACGAGTCAGTCTGATGTTTGAAAACTACTGATATTTGTTTACAATTCAATATTTTGAATAAAAATAGGACATGCTGGCACTATAAATTGATGTGAACCAAATTTTTTAGTCATTGTTTTCCAAATATTGCTGTCATTTGTATTATACAGTCCTTCTTTAAAAAACATTGTTATACAAGTCAGTCTGA